AACCCTTTCCATAAAGAAAGGCTGGAACAGAGAGAATTCTCGCCCGGGTTAGAAAAACCCGTTCAAAGAGCTATCCTGCTCCCTCTCAGAAGTGCTCTATGGTTATTTCCCGCAGTAAAAGTCCCTGCTGTCGCACCACGAGCAGGGTCGCTCGGTAATCCCGCCGAGAGGCCGTGTTATGGATTATTCATTTGGCTAATACTGCAACTGTAATTTAAAAGCCTTCATCTCTGCTTTGAGCTGAGTCACTGAAGACAGAGAGGGGGGGTTGACCACCAATCCGCCTGAGACCAGCTTAAAAAACATAAGTGGAAGAAGGAAGGGGTTTGAACTGCTAAGAAATGTGCTGGTTGTGTTGCCGAGAAATCAGGGCCCCATCAAGTCAATAACACTTTCCCATGGTCGGACGTCCCAGCGGTCCTCGTGTTTATTCGCTCAGGGTCTAAACGGTTGTGATGTTACAAAGGCGCTTCACACCTTTGTAACAAATGTGTTGTGAGGCTGCCGCGGTGTCGGTTTTCGCCTCCAGTGATGTCTTCAGCCGAGCGCTAGTTTCCTCTCTCTTTGGTCTTGTGTCGGCCGCAGCGCAGCCGGGGCGCAGCTCTCATCCGCTCGCAGTGCCGTCTGCGCCATGTCGCCTGTCGGCGTAGACCGAGGTGTGATTCGCCTCTGACGGCTTACTCTGCTACGTGTTATCCTGAAACAGCCTAGAAGTTCAGCTTTTTAGGTGAACCTGAAAGTTAAGAAGAAGAAAAAATATACGCATGCAGAGTCTTGTGCGCCGAGAAATGTATAACGAACGAACAAGAGATTGCTGTCGGTCAGTCTGGGAATGGGTGAATCACTCAGCACGTCAGTCAGACGATGCATCTGTTAAACAGGTATCAGTAGTCCGTCGGACATTTTTTCCCGTCTGCGGGAGGCGGGGTTGCTTTATTTTACTACGTGCTAGGGCGGGCGCGCTATCCACCTAATGAACACGTGGTTAATTGGTTAAATTAGTTCTTTCCCATCGACGAAAACAGTCCCCCCCAGGGTGTCCACCTAATCACCGGCTCACAGGACACCCCCAAAATAGGAGTTCAGGAGAGAATGAAACATGGACGATTTTATTATGTTTTTTTTTAACAAGAATGAGAAAACCAGCCGCCAGCGTGCGCTCCCTGTTTCTTCAGGTGAGGAAGACAGTAAATACTATACTCTACCCATCTCCTCCCCCTTACGTTCCTGGAAAATTGAATTTTCTCCCTTTTAGGCACGAAGTCGAGATGCCAGCCAGCACCAGCCGCCTCCTGCTAGGAGTGTTACTCTCGGCTGTATAGTTGGAAGTAAATTTCGGTTCATTATGGTCGCCGGGGGGACTGAATTGTTCGCGACACCGGGAGGCACATAACTAGCGCTGTACCGGTGGTTCTAGCCACGCTTGTCAATAAACCGCGATTAAGGTTGCTAAGGGAGAGACATGACTAGGCAGTCGCCTTCCAATCTTTTCTGATTCCACTGAGGAAAACAAGGCTGACCCATTCCCCCCGACAGGTCTCTGATTCGGCTAATACCCGACGCGAGAAGCTTCCTTGGAAAAGCTGCTTCAGACTTGCATCGCGCCTTTTGAATCTCTACACAATAGTCCAAGAGGTCTTTTCTCCCCGGGCTGCGCTCCGTGACCGTTTTCTTTATCTGCAGTGGCTTAAGTACGACTTTCATCCAAACGTTTACTTCTCCTGCCGAACTCGCTCCGAATTTCACCCGTGATCGGGAACCCCAGCCTCATCGGTTGGAGGTTAGAAAATTCATCAACACCGACATAATCAGGAGTGCGTTTCACTTGGAATGTAATAGCATAACCTTGAGACCTTATTGACAGCGCAAGTACTGTCGAGTTAACCGACAGTACAGGGACAAAGGTGACCTCACACTTAGCTGTTGGACGACTCTACTGTAAGTAGCCTGGTCTCATCACATCCCTGTATCAAACCAAGCCTGAGCCTGGTCAGTACTGAGACTGGAGACTCTAAAAGCAAAATTCTTACGTTCAATTTCTTTTCTTTTTTTTAGGGGATAAAAGAGTATTACATGGTTACACATACAACAATGACAAAATGTCACCAATCATCATGGCAAGACAGACTTGGGACCTAAAAAAACTCTGTGAATCCATAAAAACATGAATAAAGGAGTAGACAAAAGGGAAACCAGAGATGTGGAAGAGATACCCAAAGGGAAAAGAGTAAATACAAAAAAAAACTTAACAATATTATATACTGTATATAACAGCAAACACACAGACAGTACCCCAGGAATTGAACCCAGGGCCCCAGCACTGCGAGACTCCAATGCTTACCACTGTGCCATGCTGGCTCAGCTGCAGTCAGCAATACTGTAAGTATCTCCCAGTAGTGTGGCGCAGTGCATACATACCCACACAGATGTGACTGAATTTCTATTGTCATAACCTGTGAATTAATTTTAATTGCACCTTGCTCAGGTTATGAGAGAGAGAGAACCAGCAACGTAAGTCAATGGAAACGCCAGTCACAGTTTCGAGCTGTGCTAGACTGGGCGCCGATGACGTGTCTTTGTCTCGTTGACGTGATATTGCGTGACTTGGCTGCCTGCTGTCTGATCGTGCGAGTCAGCTGTGACTCCTCGTGCTGCGCCTTCAGGGTGGACTTCTTGAGGGATCTGGAGGAGACGGACTTTACTCCTCTAAGGGGATTGACCCGCAGTACGTCGCCGGGGGGAGAGGGATGTGGAGGTGTGTTTTACTGTGGCACACGCTGGAGTGCTTGATGGGTGTTGCAGAATTACAGTCCCCCCTAAATCGCAAGCTCGCTTCGAGGTGGAC